TGGTGGAAAGCGCCCACGCAAAAACCTTTTCGGTTTTGGGCGCCGAAGTATCTGACTTTTGGTACTACCGGCCCAAACTTATTCCTTGTGGGTGAGGGGTCGTGGCCACAGCTCCGTTGGCCTGTTTTTACCGGACAATGAATCTGGCACTGTTTTTGAGCGGGATTCATGAACCGGTAAGGCCATTCTTTTTCAAGATACCCTACCTAGACCTCGTTCTATCTAATAGGGGTACCACTTTCTGCCTCTTCTACATCAGAATGAATCTGGTGCTGTTTGATGTGCCAGATTCATGATCCGATAGGGCCCTTGGAGGGACACATGGGCCGGTAGTACGCCAGTAACGCCACATGGAAAAGTTTGGGCATTTAGTACCAAACGGCAGACCTTTGGGCGCCCAAAACAGAAAAGCTTTTGGCGTGGTCTCTTTCCACCCATTATCCCACAATGGGGGATAATTGGTGTACCAATAGGCAGACCTTTTCCTTCCACGAATGATCCCATCATGGTGCCTTCGTCTGGGCCTTCTCCTGTCTACTCAGGGCCTAAACGTTCGCTTTCCACCACGTATCCCCACGATGATGGACCTGGACGACACCCAGCTTCACAGTCTTCACTTACTTTGACGAGTCGACCCCAAGTGTGGGTCGAGACCAAAGCCTGGAAAATGGTTTCTCAGAAGGTCCGCCAGCAGTTGAAACTCAGGCTCGTTCACTATATCACAGTCATGGATGGAGTGGGATTCGAGGACAGATTTCCAGGCTTCGACAATATCGAGGAGAAGACAGTTATCCCTGTGAGTTGCCAACGCATTTAGAGCCTTGCAGGCATTCAGCTTTGTATTCTTCGGTTCTTCTTCATCCACAATCAGATTTGCCAAACTCTTTAATATCACCCACAAGGTTGCGTCTGTTTTTGACACCTTTGGCACCGCGGTGCGAGAGTTTGCCTGGGTGGCGTTGAAAACCTCGTCAATCTCGTTTCTTAGAAGATCGAAGTGGTGAGCCAGGAGATAAGACAGCAATCTAACAGGACTCCGCTGGGCCCATCCCAGTTTAGGAAGATGGCTATCGCCCCTCCAAAACCGGGCTATGAACTTCCGCCAGCTGTCCCCTCTGAGGTTAAAAGTTGACAATTCAAGGATATAACGAACAAGGTTGGTGACGAGCCTTCTTTTCTCCTGTGTGATCAGTCTGGGGGCAATGTCGCTATCAATCTGGAGCTCCACCCTAAGGTTGAGTCCATTGGGGGGGTGCGGGTCATCCGAGAAGTAGTGCAGGAACAAGTCGCAGAGTGCAAACAATACATAGCTCTGGACTGCGTATACGCATGCCACCGTCATCTGAAGGAGATGTGTCAGCTCCGCCACTTCGAAAGGGAACAGCTGATGTGAGCCAAGGCCATAATAACACGAGAAGAGGTAGGCTAATTTAACTTAGTATACATGAGACGCCCAGTGTGACAGAGCAACATCGACGATCAGCGGAAGTGCTCTGGACTCTCGAAAAGCGCCTCGAGGGGGTAGGATCCACGACTCTTCACCTTCCAATTCCTTCCAATTGTGGTGAACGCCGTAGATTGTTTCCCGCCAAGGTGCCTTGCATTCGAGGGTGGCGTCGGTAGAAAGCTGTGCGAAGCTGTGGACTTTCTCCAGCCTCACTGAATGCGCATAAGGTGAGCCGTATTGCATTATGTGGTTGAGGACCACAAAGGTGTGCTCGCAGCTGCCGTCAGTCAATTTTCCACCTGCTGCCATGTTGGCCATCACTTCGACAAGGCTTTTACCATGTTCGCCGCAGAACATAAATTTTTGGACTTGGTATTTTATGCAGAGCGCAGAAAGTGCTACGGCGGCATTCTCCTGGAGCTGAGGAGAGGCGCGGGAGGTCACAGCATTCCACAGAGATAATCCCACTCTGCCCAGCGCAAGGACATTAGCGCCATCAAGCGGATCGTACGGATCCGATATGCCCGATGCCTGTTCCCACGTCCCTATCTGGAACAAGTGACTGAGGACCGCAACCGCCCGTTCTCGGCATGCCACGGACCTGTGGGAGCAGCCAACCCAGCTTTGACGATCAAGGCGCAAACGTGCTGATCGCGGCTCTTGGCGAACCGTGCCAATGAGTCCAGGGCCATCTCCTGATCCATACTCAGCTCGTTGGATTGCTCATCGGGATAAAAAGGTGTGTATTTGTAGCAAAGGATGGGACGGAACGCATGCTTGAGCAGCTCTTCCGCGCTAAGGAACCAATGTCCAGGCAGTCCGCAACTCCCATCGGCTTGGTAGGCGCACACTGCAGGTAACAGAGGGTGTTGCTTGCAGTGCAAATACCACACGAGAGCTGATAGATCTTCGATTACCCGGCTCTCTTCAATGGCCCGCGGTAAGTTACTTACGGCCTCCCTGCTCTCTCTCGACGCGCCAGGCTTCCAGGTGTCGGTTGCACTGCGGCGCAGTGCTCGCCTCACCAAAAGGCGCTTCAAACCTAAGACAAGGGAGAAAGGTGTGGAATGAAACGAATTGAGACAGACGATGACGACGGAGAGAATAACCTCCACAATGACGACGCCATAGCAGCAGTGCATCATCTCTACAAGCCTGTCAAGCCCTGGATCCTCGATGGCCAGTGCTTTTTGAGAACGAACACGCCCAGCGAGCGTCCCAGCCAACACTCCCTGCGTTAGGGTCAGTTTCAACATCGTTTCAACGACTCTTCACCGATGTAGGTTACTTCTTCTTTGCATTCGAGAGAGGCCCAGTGTGACAGAGCAACATCGACTACAACAGGAAGTGCTCTGGACTCTCGAAAAGCGCCTCGAGGGGGTAGGATCCACGACTCTTCACCTTCCAATTCCTCCAGATCGTGGTGAACGCCAAAGATTGCTTCCCGCCGTGGTGCATTGCATTCGAGGGTGGCGTCGGCAGAAAGCTGTGCGAAGCTCTGGACTTTCTCCAGCCTCACTGAATGCGCATAAGGTAAGAAGTAATGCATTATGTGCCTCATGACCTTGAAGGTGTACCTGCAGCGGGCGTCCATCAGTTCACCACCTGCTGCCATATTGGCCAGCTGTTCGAAAAGGGTTTTACCCGCTTCGCCGGAGAACAGAAGTTTTTGGAATCGGTAKCTCAAGCAGAGAGCAGCAAGTGTTACGGCGGCATTCTCCTGGAGCTGAGGAGAGGCACCGGAGGCCAAAGCATTCAGCATAGTGAATCCCACACTGGCCAGAGGAAAGACACCAGCGCCATCAAGCGGATCGTACGGATCCGATATGCCCGATTCCCGTTCCCATTGCCATATCTGTGACAATTGACTGAGGACCTCGACGGGCCGTTCTCGGCATTGCACCGACCTGTGCGTGCCAACGACTTGCAAAGGGCATCAGTATCCACCCCTTCTCTGACGATCAAGTCGCAAACCTTCTGATCACGGCTCTTGGCCAACCGTGCCAATGAGTCCAGGGCCATCTCCTGGTCCATGTTCAGCTTATTGGATTGCGCCTCGGGAAAGAGAGCGTTGTTTTTGTAGCAGCTGATGGGACGGAAAGCATGTTTGAGCAGCTCCTCCGCGCTAAGGAACCAATGTCCAGGCAGTCCGCAATTCCCATCGGCTTGGTAGGCGCACACCGCTGGCGAAGAACTCCTGAACGAACGTTCGGGTCAGTTTCAACATCGTTTCAACGACGAGAACGGCTACGCAGAGCCAGAAAGCCGCTCTCTCCATGATCTGGCCGAAGGAACCGAGGACGATGAGGACCAGGGTGATAAGGAGCCAGCCAAGGATCTTCTCTACGTGCTCTAGCAAAATCAGCCTCTCAATCTGCCCTTTGACGCCCTCCGAAGGGGGCGGCAAATCCCTGGTGGCGTCACGGAGCAGATCGAAATCTAAGCGATTATGACCTGGTTCAGCAGCCTCAGAGGAGCCATAAACGCGACGACGGAGTAACCTGTCGATTGCGGAGGCCTTGCTCCCCATGTTGGCTTACTAAAGTTGCAGTACAGGAGGGCTGGAGGAGACTTTGAGAGCTGTGACGGCCTGGATGCCTTTCAATCGTGCGGCTGCTGTCATCTGTCTGGTCGGACCCAATCGCTCCAGGAAGGAAGATGGCCGATAGCTGCAGAATTGGGATAGTTCGTAGAATGTGTGCACGCCAAAACCTTTCCGTTCTTACTTTGTAGTCTAGTCTGGTTAGGATACCTGGCTCTCATCCAGGCGACCTGGGTTCGAGTCCCAGCCACGGAAAAAAAAGGATAACTAGGTTCTGGGCACCCGAAACTCGGCCGTTTGGCTCCAGGAATACGGCCGATAGCTGCAGAATTGGGATAACTGGTAGAAAGTGCCCACTGCAAAACCTTTCCGGTCGTCCTTCGGGACATCCGTTAAAATTGGAACGATACAGAGAAGATTAGCATGGCCCCTGCGCAAGGATGACACGCATAAATCGAGAAATGGTCCATTTTTTTTTTTTTTCTAAAAAAAAAAAAAACTTTTCCGGTTTTGGGCGCCCGAAACTCGGCCGTTTGGTACTACCGGCCCAAACGTCTTCAGCCTGGGTGAAAGGCCCCTTCGCGCCGTGGCCACATCTCCCTGGGCCTGCAGAATTTACCTAGTTATGCGTGAGCGATCGCACCGGATTATCTCCCATGGCGAGAAAGCTCCGAGGATCGGAAGCTGCCGTTAAATAATCTAGGGTCGCGGCAAATTCGCAAGTCCGGAAACTGCTCAGGAATGCCAATACTTCAGGGAAAAATCGTCACTCCTCCCGCTTTGAATCCGTTCTACTGTGTTAAACAAAAACGAGCGCAGGTTTCCTACTGATCGTGGAAAGGTGGTATGGAAAACAACGTCTTGTACTCTGCTTCAACGGGTAACTCCAACCGTGATTGGCTTTCCTAGTGGAAGACACGATAATTATTATATACTTAAGACCATGACCGTGGTCGTGGTGGTGGTGATGACGCTGGCACCGCTGAATCTGCTGCTGATGATAATGAGCAGTCTTGGCCAGATCGGCCTTGAAACTCTTCCCGAAAATGTCAGACAGGCAGCGTGGATATCATAATCACAATGGTGATGATGATGATGATGATGATGATGATGATGATGATGATGATGATGACCGTGATGGTGATGACGTTGATGGTGATGATGGTGATGGTGATGGTGATGATGACTATCGGATAGCGACGATGAAGACGGCGTTGCTCCACGTACCTCTAATGAAAACTATAGCATTTTCTAGAACCCCTCCGCAGCTATGCTCATGCCTTTTCCTCTAGAACTTCAAGTGAGAAACGACCTATACATATTCGTATAAAGCAATACTTATGTATAAACTGATGGCATTTCTTGTGCCTTTTCTTGTCCCGGCAAGTCACTGCGTCCGAGCCTAAACCACCTTCCCCTTTTTTTTTTTTTTTTTTTTTTTTTAATGTAACAATCCCTTCACTGCGCTCCACCGCACGCTAACCAGTTAAGCGCAATTGGACGCAGGTAGAAGCGTGAGCGAGGAAGAATTCAAGAAATAAAGCAAATGAGCGGCGGCACATTCGAGTTCTCCACGGGGAGGGATTTTTTTTCAGAAAAAGAACCCTCAAAGTCTTCCTCTTTTTTTCTTGCGTAATTTTGAGGAGTCCTTTGCCGCTATGCTCGTGCCTTTCCCTGCGCTAGTTCCTAGCGCTATGGTAGTTCCGGGGCGTAAAGGGAAACTCGGGCGAGACACGATATATATAAATAAATAGATGAAGCCCCTCCTGCTAACGGGCGACTCGTTGGAAACGGACGATATATATAAATAAATAGATGAAGCCCCTGCTAACGCAATCATGTGAAAAGTCATAAACTACTAGTAATGTGAAAACGTGAAATGAAGATATATCAGCTGCTATAACTGTTGCGACAAGCAATTTTCTTTTGCTCCTCTCTCTCTCTCTCTCTCTCTCTCTCTCTCTCTCTCTCTCTCTCTCTCTCTCTCTCTCTCTCTCTCTCTCATCCCGCCAAAAACCCTCCCATCTACAGCTGGAGAGCGTCCGTTGCTCAAAGACTATTCCAGCATCCCCCTTGATTGTTCAAATACAAAACACTATACAACACGCCATTGGAAAGAAAAGAGGACTCCATCTACGACAACCGATTGAAAGAGGAGAGTAGGCTCCCTATTCACCCTTCCACGTAATAATAC